ACTCTAACTTAAAATGTCTTTGGCACGACTTTGAAGTACACAATGAGCTGATAAATGACAAACGAATTTCGACATGCGCAGAAACGACATTACTTTCCGGTCCCCCTAATAGACGATATTTGTATCGAGAAAGAACGCACATCGAGAAAGAGGATAAGTCTCAAGTGTATTGTGTGCTTTATCTTTTATTTCTTGAAAGATACACAAATATATATTACGTATATAAATAAATATATATATACATAGATGTATATAGATATAAATATTAGCAATTGAATGTTAGTAATCGACACAAAAGACTAAAAGATAGCGTGTTATACGTAACTGATCTAAAGAAGAAAATATCTACAATTTTTTTTAATATTTTCCACATAAACCATTGTTCCACATGTACGTCAAAAAACGCAATTTGGAAAGGCAAATAGAAAAATTCTCAGAAGAATCTAGTATTCCAATACATATGAATGATAAGTAGATTTCTTAATATGAAAAATGAAAAATAGGCTTCTTGTCAAAACACACACACACACAGAAACACACACACACACACACACACACACACACACACACACACACACATATATATATACGCATTGGCATATTTGTATTTTTTCATTCCTATGAGGAGATGGTATCTCCTGTCTGAGATGCGGTTTTACGCGACTCGATCTTGACGTTGAATCCGTCGCCCCTTTTCAGGGTAATCTCTGCTAGCAAAGGAAATTCTTGATATGCCACGTTAGAAATAATACGATATTTCCTTAATATCGTGGACAGTAAAATCTTCATTTTCAGCATTGCGTACTTTCGTCCCAAGCATGACCTACGAAGAAAGGGCCAAACATTAAGAGATGTGACAGTATATTCAGTACTATTCGCTTGACGCCATTAATAAGATTTTATGGCTCATAAAGGTTTCTTTTTACCTCGGCCCGGCACTGAAGGGAATATAAGCGTAAGGATTTCTCTGCTGCATTTTATCCGGTAGAAAATTGTCTGGATTAAAAACTAGTGGATTCGGGTAATATTTTTCTGCACGATGTACCAGGAATGGAACTATCACAATGGTGGCATCTTTTGGAATAACGTAATTGCCTGTAACTTAAACATAAAGATGATTCTCTTCTGGTGTTAATCTAATTTACAACACGTGTACTAAAAATATGACATATATGTGTGTCAACTAGTGACACGATACAATTCATTTGTATTGTATTACCTATTCTTACGTCCTTATTAAGTTTCCTTCCAAATATTGGTATTGCGGGAAAAAGCCTCAATGTTTCTAATATAACTCTCTCCAGATACTTCATGTTGACAGTGTCCACAAAAGTACACTGCCTGTCGCTGTCCAAGAATATAGAGTCCATTTCTTCGTGTACACGTGCCTGGTCAATGAAAATTAATAATGTCGTTTCATTACATGTTCAAATACTCTCATTTTTGCAGAGAAATCTTTAAAAAATATCGAGAAATGGAATGACAGCCAAGTAATTCGAATTTTATGACTTTTCATTTTTATGGCAT